CACCATGCCCAGCTAATTTTTTGTAGTTTTAGTAGAGACGGGGTTTCACCATGTTGACCAGGATGGTCTCGATCTCTTGACCTTGTGAGCCACCCGCCTCGGCCTCCCACAGTGCTGGGATTACAGGCTTCAGCCACCGCGCCCGGCCTGAAAATATCTTTTTTTAAAAGAGATCTAAAATTCTTCCTTTCTCCCCCAATAGTAAATACATGAATATGTCAGATTAATATTATGGGAAGCCAGAAGAGAGCTGGGGCTTGGGAGATGTTTTTTCACCTACTTTCCATTTGTAATTTTTTAGGTACAGAACTGGAACAGTGAAATTCTTGCTAAGCAAAAACCTCTTATTGCCAAACCTTCTGCAAAGCTACTCTTTGTCAACAGACTGAAGGGGAAAAAATACAAAACTAATTCCTCCACTAAAGTTCTCCAAGATGCCAGTAATTCTATTGACCATCGAATTCCAAATTCTCAGAGGGTACGTTTAAAATAGATTTTTTTTTTCAAGTATTGTGTTTTGAGTACCTACATCTGGGTTTTCTTGTATTCATACTGGATTTTTCGTAATTTAAATTAGACATTTAACATAAAATATCTTTGTATTCATAGTTGCCTATCTTTTCTATGTTCTTCAAAACTAGAAATGGTAATTACTGTCTTAGTAGATAAATTGCTCCCTTGTATTGGACAATAATTATTTCTTTTTCTTTTTTTTTTGAGACAGAATCTCACTCTGTCACCCAGGCTGGAGTACAGTGGCACAATCTCAGCTCACTGCGACCTCTGCCTCCCAGGCTCAAGTAATTCTCCTACCTCAGCCTCCCGAGTAGTTGGGATTACAGGCGAGGGTCACCATGCCCAGCTAATTTTTGTATTTTTAGTAGAGATGGGGTTTCACCTCCTAACTTCAAGTGATTGACCTTCCTTGGCCTCCCAAAGTGTTGGGATTGTGGTCATGAGCCACCACGCTTGGCCACTAATTATTTATTTGAGTAACTATTGTTTGGAAAAATACTACCAGTTATTTCACTGCATTGTCTCCCAGTAAAACTACCCTCTACTCAGCTCAGAAGACAGAACAAATAAAATTCAGATGCTCGGGGATTTTTAAATATTAGTTTAGAATGAAGTGTGTCTGTTAGCATCTACTTCTATTAATCACATTACTGAAACTATAATGAAAGAACTAAAAACTTTTGATGAAAAATGAGCCTGAGCAACATGATTAAACTCTGTCTCTACCAAGAAATACAAAGTTAGCTGGGCATGGTGGTGTGCACCTGTGGTCCCAGAGCCCAGGAGGTGGAGGTTGCAGTGAGCTGAGATCATGCCACTGTACAACACTGCTGCCTGGACAACAGAGTGAGATTGTGTCTCAAAAAAAAAAAAAAGAGTAAAATGATCATAGCAATCAGTTTGTTTAATTTATTTAGAAATTAAAATACCATGAGTTTACTCATAAGTATTTACTCATTACTAATGCAGCTACCCTATAATCTGATAAAAGGATCAAAGTAAGTTACAAAGAAGATACTTCCATTTCCAAATTCATTTCTCTGCTGGGCACAGTGGCTCATGTCTATAATCCCAGCACTTTGGGAGGTCAGGGTGGGTAGATCTCCTCAACTTAGGAGTTTGAGACCAGCCTAGGCAACATGGTGGAACCCGTCTCTACCAAAAATACAGAAAATTAGCTGGGTGTGGTGGCACACCTGCGGTCCCAGCTACTCAGGAGACTGGGGTGGGAGGACTCCTTGAGCCTGGGAGGCAGAGGTTGCAGTGAGCTGAGATTGCCCCACTGCACTCCAACCTGGGTGACAGAGTGAGACCCATCTCAAAGAAAATAAATAATAAAAAATAAAGGGCTGGGCACGGTGGCTCACGCCTGTAATCCCAGCACTTTGGGAG